AAGCTTCGTTCCTGAGACAGTGTACAGCCATGCACCAAGTCTATATAAGGCAAATAGCCTGCTTCAACACCTTAAAAACTGGAGCATAGACAGAGCTCTAAGACAACCACTGCCTTGCTAATTAAACTGAAGGCAAAGGCGCTTACCTGGTCAAGCCTGTCTTCAGATGTCAACCCAACTTATCATCTGTGAGACATACAAAGATAGAAGGTAGAGAACAACATTTCTACAACATCGTTTCTGATCCTCCTCAGGCCAAGACTCTGCTGTAAAACTACACCTTATGGACAAAGGACATTCTTTTGAGGACAAGGATGTTCACATTTTGGATAAAGAAAATAGGTGGTTTAAGAGGGACGCGAAGGATGCCATCTATGTTAAGAAAGAAAAACCAGCCGTAAACAGAGGGGGTGGAGTCAGATTTCAGCTTTCACAAATCTACAATACAGTGATAGAGTTCCCACTCATCATTGCAACCCCACACCCTTTTACAGGGTAATAGAAGACCTCACCTATTCAGCCGGCCCAGCGTTTCCCTTTCGGAGACATAGACAGGTATGGGGCATTGCAGGCTAACAAAAGAAGCCAAACAAAGGGGTGGAGCCATTCTTCCAATTTAATCTGCATATTGTCTGAGTCAAAACAAGACTTTGTTGGGCTACTGTATAAAACCTCTTACTCAACGCTTTTCCTTACATATTGAATTGAAAATGCTTTCGGGATGGGAAGCGAAACGTCTTCAAACTTGGAAACAAAGTCCAGTGGATTGTTTTTTACCCTTTTTTGGAATGACTACGACCTGGATGACTGAGAATCTTCACCAGCTGTAGTCTCTGACCACCATCCTCTACCCAGGGAGTGGAAGAGAATACCAGCAGCATTTTTAAAGCTGAAGCTGAGTTAAGGTTATAATGGAGAATAATGATGGCTTATGTTGACACCAGTTCACTCATTAATGGTAGTGTGCTGAATTGTTTTGAGGGGGCAGCATATTTACACTGTTATACAAGCTGTATGTTTGTTTAAATCATCATATCTCCATTGTTGTCCCTTGAAAAGAAATAATAAAGAGAGATGTTGGTAAGATACTCTGACTCTTTGAAGTGTTGCTATAATCAGTAGATTCATTATTTTTTACATCACACATACAGTTGTGGTGACATTGTTACTGAAAATGTTGATAAAACATTCTCAAGGGGCAATTAAAGGGGCAAGAGCAGAGATAAAAAGATAGAAACAGCAGATCCGCTGTTTGTTGTAGTTCTGATAGTACTAGAACGCCCTGCTTTTTTTCCTTGGTTTAACAGAACATGATTTGGGTCATGTTTTCCTACATAAATGTTCTCAAACCACACTGATTCACCCACTGGAACCGAAAAGACAGAGTTTAAGCAACAGTGCTTTCCCGAATGCTGAGCTTCACCAGCCAGTGGAGATTCTAATTCCCCTGGGGAGTTTAATTTCAGAATTTAGGATGACATCTGATACCATTTGACTTTGATTTAGTTTGTTGTTTTTTAATTCAATACAAGTAATCAGAATTAACGGTCAAATGGTTTAAAACTGTGACATTTTAACCAGCCATTCTTCCCATTTATATTGGATTCAGCTAGACGGAAATTAAATTGCAATCTGACTGAGAGTTGTTTTTGCCAATTGACAATGACATCAACGTGCCTATCAACTAGACTTGATTGTATATTTTAATCAAGTTAATATAAGGGCTGTTAATACTTAATCACATTTGTATTTAAAACTATATGTTGACAAAACACACAACATTTTAATTTTAAAAACCCTTTTTGCTTCAAAGTTATTGAATAAATAAAAAAAACATGAGCAGGGCAACAGACATATTGTTTTTAATTAAATTTTTGGGAATACTCAACCATCAGTTTGGTTGAGACTTATAATCATTTAAGTTCTTTTAGGAAAGCATGATATTTTAGTTATGACAGAGTTGTATTATTACAAGAATGAAGTCATCATACTACAACCTGTTACAGAAAGAAAGCTTCAGGCTCTGACCAGCAGATGACGGCCAACCAGCTCCACCAATCAGCAACCTGAGTCCACTTTGACATCCTGCCCATGTTGATGCTGCTGCTAAAATATTTCCTTATTTGTCAAACTGATGCCAAAGTCTAACTTCACATGATGCTCAGCATCGACATGATGCACGACATTCATAATAGTAGGGGAGAAAGTGCTTTTTCTAAGAGTTGTCAAAAGGTACAACTTTATTCTTTGTGACTTTGTGACTTTTTAAATTTGTGACTTTATTCTAGTTACTTTATGACTTTATTCTTGTAATATTATCACTTTATTCTCATAATGTAACGACTTTATTCTCGTAATTTTGCAACTTTATTCTCCTAATTTTATGACTTTATTCTCATAATGTTGATTTTATTCTCGTTAATTTAAGACTTTATTCTGGTAATGTTATAACTATATTCTCGCAATTTTATGACTTTATTCTCTTAATGTTACGGTTTATTCTTGTAATTTTGCGACTTTATTCTCGTAATTTTATGACTTTATTCTCGTAATGTTGATTTTATTCTCGTAATGTTATGACTTTATTCCTGAAATAGAAAAAAGCAATCTCTAGCCTGGGCTTAATACTCCGTTGTATTTATGCGCCTATAGAAGTATGAACAATATTAATGACCAAACATTCACCTAAGCATATGTTTTTGTTGGCAGTAATCTCACCCCATATTTCACTGGAAGTTGGCTTTTATAGATTTGCTCTCCTCATATTTTTAAATTAAAATCTAAAATTATGAGTTTTCTGCACAAGCAAAAGGCATCTTTTGACATTTTCTTAATCATCCATCAGCCTTTGCGTGTAAATTGGTCTAAAGAGGGAGGAATAATCAGGGAACAACAGTTGGAGAAATTTCAAAATAAAATCCCCCCCTGTCTGTATATCTGTCTGCTCCTTAATTCCCTCCTCGGTGAGTCCAAACGGTCAGTGTGTGGGAACGGGGCCGGATGCGGAGCAGATTCTCTGAGGTGGGGTGTGTGTGTGTGTGTGTGTGTGTGTGTGGATGTGATCCTCTCAGACTGACGTCTCTCCGGTAGCGCAGAAGAAGAAGAAGACCGCAGCCGGGTTCCTCCACACACTGAGCGCAGCCAGGCACAAGGCAGCCGCCGGCCGCAGACCGAGGACGCAGGAAGCCAAAGTTAAAGCGGGGAGGAAGCAGGAGTTTCTCAACATGTTCAACCTGCGGAAAGCTGCGTTCAGACACGCTCAGCCAGCGACTGTTTGATTCCTCTGGAGTGCTGCTGCTGTGCTTTTCTTTTTTTCCTCCCTCTCTCTTTATTAAACCTCTGATGTGAAGAACCGAACCTCTTTCCAGCTGAAACGATGTGGACCTCTCATGATACTGTTGGATTTGTTTTCCTTGCGGGATTCTGTGTTCAGTTGGGATTCTCCCTTGAAGGTAAGGCGCAGATCGTGTCGGGCTTTTTTTTTTTTCCTTTTCTCTTTTCTGGGCTGCCCTGTATTAAAAGTGCGCAGCGCAAAAGGAGGCTGCGGTGGAAGCGGCTCGTATTAAGTGGATCCTAATGCGCAAAGGAAGGAGGGGAAGAGAAATAAGGAAGGTTGCGTCTTAAAAAAATAACAAACAAACAAAAAAAAAAGCATAAGCAACTGGTGCTTCTTCTTTTTTTTTATATAAGTCTCTCATTTCTTTCTCGTTCAGGAGAATCGGACCCTTTTCATACTGTTTTCAGTGAAACAGGGTGCTTTGTAAGGAAAAAATAACTTAATGTAAAGGAAAAGAAAATTAAAAAGCATCCAGAAGCTGCCCTGCTGGCTCGCTGCGCCGCTGAGTGTGGCTGCGTGGAGCTGTCCGCGGTGCTGAAAGCTCCCCCTCCCTCTGGTCTGCATCATCCTGCTGAGATTCCCCACTTTGAAAACAGCTTAAAGAAGCGCAATCTGCGCTGTCCGAAACAAAACAAAAACATGTTCATACATGAAGACTTTGAAAATGAAATGAATGTAAAATGAGGTGTTTTAATGGGACTTATTTCATTTCATTTATATAAAAGATAAAGAGAAAAGCCTGCTGGAGCCACCAAGGCTGTGCATAATTAAACCAGGCTGTCTCATTCCTGTTAAAGTCTGGTATCTGTGAGCGGAAAGAGGTGGGAATCTACCTCCGTTTGGCTCAGGAGCTCACTTATTAACACCCCCTCACCACCAGCACCACCCCTTCCCATCATAACGCCTTCCTCCTCCTCCTTCTCATTCCCTTCCCTTTTTTTCCCCCCGGTTCACAGGTCGCTTTACGGACCTGCCCTCCAACATGACCGTTAAAGAGGGCCAGAACATAGAAATGGCGTGCGCCTTCCAGAGCAGAACTACATCCGTGTATTTGGAGATCCAGTGGTGGTTCGTGAAAGCTCCGGAGCCCACGGACAGCGAGGAGGCCCTTGACGCTGAAGAGGTACAAAGCAGCCTCTGTTTCTGTCTGAACACACATAAACACTTCTTCCTCCTACGGAGAGCGGTGCCTGCTGGGTTAGAAGCACCCCACTCAGAAAAATAGGGGGGTTCATCCAAAGCGATCGGTGCGTTTTTACGCACAAACAACCCAAAGTCATTGATGTGTTCAGCTCTCACTCCTAAACCTGTCCCTCGTTTCTTGGTTTTATGGCTTCATAGAGGTTTGAATGTTCAGATGTGCAGATTGCCTCAGATTGCTCTGATGTGGAATCTGAGGCAAAACATTATGACCAAATAAATAAAGATGTTGTCCTTAAAGTTGATGTTTACAAGCCAAGCAGAAGACTAAATCCCATCATCACCTAAACCAACAGCTGTGGTGTTAATGTGCTGCTATCTGTTGGGTGGACGGTCCAGGTTAAAGGACGGACCTGTGGCTGGCATGGAGGAAGGAGTTGAGGTGATGCTGAAGGTTTCAGCGTAGCTGGAGCTCTGTCATGGCTCTATCACCTCATCGCAATGTGGTCTGGAGACGTTTGAGGTGCAGGAAATGCGTTTTTGGCGTTAAAGAACTGATTCAGATTTAGAGGGCATGTTGAAGGTGGTCACAATGATATGCATCCTCCACCTGCATACCTATAAAACAGAATGGATTTGCCTCTGGTTACTTTGCTTTGTTTGTCCCAGTTGCTGTTGTCTCACCAGCTGCTTTCTGATCATTTTAACACGAATTCAACCAATTTAATGAAACGACCGGAGCATATTTTATTTGAATTCTTTACATAATAATCAGGATATTTAAAGTGAAAATAATAACTTTTACTCTATTAATAATTATTGTTGTATTTGTTGTTATGTGCTGCTGTTCTGGTTTACTAACTAAAATTAAGACATGCATGTATGAATCTTTATGATCATATTTCTTTATTTTCTTGGGTTTTCTCCTAAATCCTTTGATTTGTTTTTATTTATCCCTGATTATTTGAGATTGGGATTTCAAACTGTTGCCTGAAACAGACAACCTGTTGCCATTAACTCAGAAATAAGGTCAGTGATGCAACAAGCTGAACATCTTGTTCTAGAGATGCACCGATTAGTCAGACAAGAAATCAGAATCGGACAATTGGCTCAAATGGCTCTTGGTAAAGACATGTAAAGTAATTCTATTCACTTTTAAATACATTTTGTAGTTCATAATTTATTGCATGGTACATTAAAATATGTCATGTAATATACTTCCATTTAACTCAAGGAACACATCATAGATAGATCTTTTTAAAGGCTGATGTTTGTACCGATTATTAATAAATTAACCAATCCCTGATATTTACTGCCAAATTTTTGGGGACTATTTCTGAAGCCAACAATATGTTAACAAAAACTCAAAAACTACCATGAGAAAATCAAGGCAGTAACGTAATAGAAAACAACCAGAGCAGTGCATGTCCGCCATGTGATCTCAATGCGTACAGTAGCGGCTGAATCCATGATTGGATCAGAATTCACGCACGCATTGGTTGAAGCTGATACGCGAAGAAAAAACACTTTTATTGGCCAAAATATGGGCTGGCTCATGTTTGGGTCTATCTGTGTCGACCTCAGTCCAGCTTTCATTTCCAACCCTTTTTTATAACCTTTCTTTTTTTATATATTAATATTTTTTTAATGATTCACATGTATTCTCTATTTATTTTATGTTACATGTTTGCCACTGCAATAAAAATTTTCTTTTTTTATTATTCATGCGCAGCACTTTGGATTGCCTTGCCTGTGAAATATGCTATAAACCTGGCCTGCCTCTGATCCTAATGATAACCAGCCTGCTACTGCCCGCAACACGGCGTCTCTTGACCCCCTAAGGGGTCCCGACCCCCACTTTGAGAACCCCTCTAAACCTTGACAGAAAACAATGAATGACCGTCCAAAAAAACACTTTCAAACTTCATTTTTTTCCCATTAAAACCAAATTTAGTCATAAATCCCCTCATTACCTTTTTCAAAACAGTCATAAAAATGGCCACAAAATGAGGAGCCCCATCAAGGGAACAAAACAGGAGCATTAATTAAAGCCAAAAATGAAAAAAAAGAGCTTGTTCTGCATGTTAATTACATAATAAATGAAGTCAATGAGCCTTAGTGTTGATGAATGGATAAAAGTGGCTGAACTGATACGACCGAAGCATATTCTTATACGCCGCCTCATTAAACAGCACTACTGGAAATGTGAAGCCTTTTTTTCCTCCCCTCCCCTTGGCCTATGCATTGTTGCTGGTTCTGACAGCTCCCCTTTGCCCCCCCGATTACCAATAGGCTGAGAGCGAGGCTCCGTGTTTACTGCATTCACATGGATGGAAATGACTTGCTTACTTATTGTGGCAGGAAGGAGGCATGTCAGGATTCGCAGGAGCTGCTGTATTGTCAAGACAAACATCAAAACAGAGCTGCTCTTTTTTGTATGTGTGCGAAATAGAGAGAGAGGAGATGTAAGGAGGGCCGGATCTCCATTAATTATTGTCCTATTGTGGCCCCGGCCCTCTGAGGGGCATCAGCCCAGCTTTGATCTGAGCATGATCCCATGTGACTCTTGGATGTTGGGCTGAAGTGGCCTATTCAGGCACAGATCACGTTGTTTGGCATATTTCTTATCGCGGGGAAGGCTGTTTGAAATGAAAGCGGCTGTGTGTGTGTTTGTCCTGCTGCGCTGCAGTGTGAACGGACACTCCGTGATGACAGAAGCTGTTTGAAAAACCAGCGGTCCTCCTGGTAGTATGGGAGGAGGGAATGAGCGGGATACGTTAGAATGCAAATGTTTATGCAAATAAAGGCCGCATGCATAAAATAAAGTTGGGAGTTCTTTGAGTCTTTGAAAGGGTGACATGAAAAGACTCCGACAGGAGCTTTTTTTTTGCTGGGAATAAAGGCAGAGGTCAGGTGGATCAGTGGGAGGGTATGTGCTGTTTTCAGCTCGACGTAACCACTGAAGCTCAACCTTATTCAGACTTCTGTCTAAAGCACAAAATCGTAGCAATCTAGCAGCACACAAAGGTCAGAGTTTTTTTTTTTACAAATCAGTCCAAAATAGCACATTTAAAGGAAGAGATGCAGGTCTTTAAAAAAACATGAAACATACGATACTCTATATGTGCTGCTGATTTTTCAGGCCAATATTACTTTCTCCTCATATTCAGAATTCAATCTTCTGAAATTACTTTAAATATTAAATTATTACATACTGTTCAATAAATGATAAGTGTTTTAAATTAAGAGTAATTTTCATTTGAATGTGCTTTATTGGAGGCATCCATGTTAGTCAAAGAACACTACTGCCACCTACTGGTTTGTGACGTCACGGTGCGGTATCGGCTGTTGATCAAGTCCCAGTGCTGTATCTGGTGTTTGTCACAACGCGCTATTATCCAAGTCATCTTGAAAACATTCTTCTTCCAAATGTTGGCTACATATTACGTGTTTTTTCTCTGGCCAGAAGTTCGATGGCAAATCCTCCCTCTTCAAGTTGGAAAATCCAACGACGAAGCTGAAGTTCTCTGGAAATCTTCAATAATTGTTGTTGATTGCAGATGTGTCTAGTAGTTCCCATTGATTTAGCTTGTAAAGCGGGGAGAATGGCGCTAGGCTTACCACACCGTGACGTCACTGCTGGAAGATGGCAGGAGGGAGGGATTACTATATTTGGACAAAAATGGCCGCTCTTAATATTGTTATTTTTTTACTGATTAACGCTAAATTCATTAAATCACAGCGAACATATTAGTTTTAGGTATAAATAATAATCCATTGATTATTCCTTGCTGACCGGACTTTTCCTTTAAATAATAAAGTGACCCAATGATAGTGAATGTTACACAAGTCTCAACTAAAAAAACAATAAAATCATTGAGTAGCATACCACACATGAATGATAGAAAATAGAGGGCCAATGCATGGGTGTTATGGCAGACACTGATACAACAACAATTAACAACGCTAATATCGGTAAAAAAAAATCAACCGGTGGATGTTTTGGTCTATCCTAATTCTTCTGCTCAGTCTAGGGCTGCACTGATTGATCATTTTGATATTTGATTAATCTAGAGATTATTTTAACAATGAATTGAATACTTTAGAATATACTTAAGGTAACAATAAATAAAAATAAATGATAAATATATGAATCTATATTTCACCTAGGTTCAAAAACAGTTTTTCAACTGCCTGTTGTTTTTCTGGATGCATTGTTCACTAATTAGCTCTATATCCATCGGGATAGGAAGCTTTTTATTTGATCTTAAAACAAAAGAAATACGATTTTTTTTTTTCTCCAAATTTGGCATTCATACCGACTGTTCTGGAATAGAGCAAATTCAAATAAACTGGATAGAACTTCAAGGATTTGGATTATTGGATCCAAACATGCTTGTTCTGAACCACTGTAATATGAACAAATGTATATCTGCCACTATAAAAAACAAACAAAATGGCAGCCCAACTGCAGTGGTTTATTATTAAAACCATATTTCATTTTCTGCATGGAATTATAACAAAAGGTTTGTGAATGAATGATTCCTGTAGATTTGAGTTGCTCTGTTCTTACCCAGGTCAGGGTTAAAGTGTTTATATGGTTACTATTTAGAAACATTAAGCATGTATGTTTAATACTAAAATGAATTACAGTAAAACGAATGATTAGGATCATTAATAAACTCAGTAACAGTCAGTTATCCAACAGTTTTACTTAAAATGCATTAAAAAAGGTTGAAATGAACTGAACATAATTAAACAACAGAGGTGGAGCTACAGTAGGGGATGTCCAGGAGTGGCCAGGACCCCCCACCAGGTGATTTTTTTGTTTGGATGTTGAACAAACAGTTAATTTGGTAACAGCGATGAATTATTCACATACATTTTCTGACATTAACAATCTCAAATGCAAAATTGATGCTCTTTGAGAAATAGTTTTTATGTATTGATTTATGTATTATTTTATGACTTCTGAATTCCAGA